ATGAAGCTTATGACCAAATCCATGGAGAAGATTCTTTATTTCATAAGGTTTATGCTTTTTAAAATCAACTTTTGCATATTGGAGAAAAAAAGATGTTTTGGTAACACATTACAATAAGGTTCCATTATTTAGCATTAGTTAATGCATTAGCTAACAAAGAGCAATAATTTTGTTACAGCATTTATTAATTTTGGTACTGAATTACTGCCATGATATATGTTCAAATGAAAAATGGTATTTCCCTTTTTAGTGTTTTTGTTCTTGCTGTAAAACATTACTTCTACGAGAACAATGATTGACCTATAAATCAGTTCAAGTCGGTCTCATATGGTTTTCTGATCCAATTCACTGCTTTTTATCCCATAATTTCCTGTTCATTGTCTCAAATGTACTTTTTATTTTAAAAAATTCAGAAAGTCATAAAGTAAGTTACATTGCAGCTGTAGCCTGTTCTCCTGTCAGTAAAAAGTGCTAAAAAAGCACTTAGTAACATTTTTTGTGCAGTGGTTTGTATAACATTTTTTGTGCAGTTTAAATTAAATAAATAGTCGAGATTAAATCTCATGCATCCGTTTGTGAAACCAACAACAACAAAACCAGAAATTGTAATCACTACAATTGCTTCATGTATTTAATATGAAATATTCCATCAAAATATTTGGGAACATTGCATTTTTGCTCTTTGAGCTCTGGCGAATGTGGGCTGCTTCCTCCGGACAGCTGCGTGCATGCATCGTCCTGGCTGGGAAAATGTTTTATGAGGAAGCTTTTTGTCAACAACTCCTGTCTGTGGTCTGGACATGGAAGGAACATTTTAGCTTTCACCTCACATGTAGCCGGGCCCGGGCCCCCCATGGGGAGGTGAACGAAAGAGTTTAACCTCCATGTGCTTTTCATTTGTTAAGCATCACACATCAGCGTGTGACTCACACATGCGCTGCTGTACATGATATACGCTGTCAGCTCGTGTGATCCAGCACCTGAAAATCTGCGAGCGCTTAGAGCTCTCAGTCCATTTCTCTTCTGAACAGCTGTTGAAGATGAACCCCAAA